TCCTGATCAGTATCTAATGTCAATACCAGAGTCACGCATATGTTGTTGCAGGCGAGGACATGAAGAGGTCAGAGATCACTCCTGCACATGATCAAACAGGTCTCTGCTACCTGGGCTTATATTAAGGATGGACATGTGGGCAAGGGCAGTGGAGGGTTCCTGGCTGTAGCCATTCCCTGGCATGTTTCAATAAATGTTTGACAAGTCATCCAGCATTCTGTGATTTTATTTCTGATAAAGCATCATGCTTGCATGTCTCCAAATTAAATGACCAAGGTCTCCAGCCAAGTTTCTGTTTGCTTGGTGTGACATGCTACATTCTATATGGACAAAGTTCATGTTCTTAAATTGAGGGAATTTGAGCAGATGATAGGCAAGAGTCAGGACCTGAGGACCTCCTACTTTAATGAGGTAATATTAGATGGTTCAGCAGGTAGCAGAAGATTAATTGCATGGCAGAGTTGAGTATAAAATCTATGGTGACATTCTAGTGCAGCAATGTCAGAGGTGCCATTTTTCAGGTAAACATTTAACTGAGGCTTCATCTTTCATCTCAGGTGGTTATAAAATTTTGAAGAAAACCAGAAGAATTACAGTCCAATACAATATACTATACAGTACAGCATAGGAACAGGCCCTTCAGCCCACCAAGCCTGTGCTGCTTCCTATTCCTTAATTAGACCTGCTACTTATTGCCCATATCCAGTCTCTATCCATCTGTTCACCAACCACTCATGTGTCTATCAAGATACACCTTAAATGTCACTAAATGTGCCTGCTTCCACCACTGGCAGTACATTCCATGCACCCATTACCCTCTGTATGAAAAATTTTCCCATAAACTTTCCCCCTCTCACCTTGAACCTGTGCCCTCTTGTAGATGACCTTTCCATCCTGGGGAAAGAGCCTCTGACTACCCACCTTATCTATGCCTCTTATAATTTTGTAGATCTCTATCAGGTCGCCCTTCAGTCTCCGTATTTCCAGTTAAAACAATCCGAGTTTATCCAACCTCTCCACTTAATTAAAACCCTCCAGACCAGACAACATCCTGGTAAACCTTCTCTGCACCCTCTTCGAAACATCCATGTCCTTCTGGTAGTGTGGCTACCAGAACTGCACACAATATTCCAAATGTGGCCTAAATGAAGTTTTATACAGCTGTAACATAACTTGCTGACTTTTATATTCGATGCCCTGGCCGATGAAGGCAAGCATGCTGTATGTGTTCTTGACCACCTTATCCACCTGTGTTGCCACTTTCAGGGATCTGTGGACCTGTATGCCCAGATCCCTCTGTATGTCATTGCTTCTAAGAGTTCTGACTTTTATTATATAAGTTGCATCTGAATTTGATCTTCCAAAATGCATCATTTCACATTTGTACGGATTAAACTCCACCTGTCATTTCTCTGCCCAAATCTGCAATCTATCTATATCCCGCTGTATCCTTAAACAATCCTCCTCACCATCTGCAATTCTGCCAGTGTTGGTATCATCCACAAATTTACTAATCAGACCACTTATATTTTCCTCCAGATATATTACAAATAACAAAGGTCCTAGCACTGATCCCCACAGAACACCACTAGTTACTAATCTCCATTCCAAAGAGCTCCCTTCACCTGCTACTGTCTTCCATGATCAAGCCAGGTCTGTATCCATGTAGCCAGCACGCCTCGGTTCCCTGGAGGCTTTACATTCGGTACCAGCCTGTCATGCGGTATTATCAAATACCTTACTAAAGTTCAAGTAGACAACATCCACTGCCCTTCCCTCATCAATCACTCTTGTCACCTCCCCTAGTCCTGGCTGGTCTTTATTCCTCAAACAATATCACCAAAGCAGATGATTTGTTCATAACATTGCAGTTTCTGGGATTTATGGTGTTCCAGTTAGTTGACACATTTCCCTACATTACAATAGCAATTACAGTCTAAAAGTAGTTGAATGGCTGCAAAATGCTTTAAGATTTCTGAAGATCACGAAAGGCGCTTTCTTCCAAAACTTGACAATTTGCCAGTACGTGGCACATGCTGACAAATTTTGATTGGTATTTTTTATCTGGAGCTGAGCAGGGGGGAGTATTCGTCTATCCTCCCCTGTTGCAAGTATATCTGTGGCTCCTGTTAGTAAGACAGGCCCACGGACCAAGCATCAATATTGGCCTAGATTAATACAAGGCCGTAGCTTATGTATTCCCTTATTGGGTTTGACCTCAGGGGCTGACAACCCAAGGGAGCGACAGGAAAGGCAGGTAGGAAAGGGAAAAATATAAATAAGTGTCAAAAATATTTAGAATGAAATAGGGATGCCTACAGCTGATTTTAAAAGAGTTTCTGGTAGCAAATTCAGTCAAGTGCTTACCTTGTAATTTTGTCTTAAATGTCGTTTGATATAGGATCATCATAAATTTTTAACCTAAGAATGATAGACTTTTGTTACCAGACACTGGCCAAGAATGGTACATCCATAACATGGACAAACAGGTTGGAAAAATAAATAAATAGTGTATAAAAGTAGGGAGGTCTTGCTAAAACTATAAAAGGCACAGGTCAGATTACACCTAGAATACTGTGAATAGTTTTAGTCCTTTTATCTGAGGAAAGCAGTATTGGCATTACAGGCCATCCAGAGAATGTTCCTGAGGTTGATCCCGGGTATGGAGGGAGTTTCTTATGAGGAGCGGTTGAGTAGTTTGATCCTATATTCATCGGAGTTTAGAAGAACAAGAGGTGGCCTTAATGAAACATATACGATTATTGGGTGCTTGACAGGGTAGTTATGGAGAGGCTGCTTCCCCTTGTGGGAGAGCCCAGGGCCAGAGGGAATAATCTCATTTTAAGGGGTCCCGCATTTAAGAACGAGATGAGGAGGAATTTCTTCTCTCAGAGGGTAGTGAATCTGTGGGACTCTTTACCACAGAGGATTGTCAAGGCTGGGTCAATAAGTATATTCAAGGCTGAGTTGATAAGATTTTTAATCAGTAAAGGAATCAAGGTCTATGGGGAAAAGGCAGGAAGGTGGAGTTGATGATTATAAGATCAGCCATGATCTCGTTGAATGGCAGAACTGACACAATGGGCTGAAATGCCTACTTCTGCTCCTACATCTTATAGTCTTATGATCAAGCATAAGCTTGTAAATCCTTCCACCACATGCCAATGGCACACAGTAAAGCGGGACAGGTTCTTGTTCAATTATGTAATGAAAAGAACATTGGAGGCTCTACCAACAATACCCATAGCTCCAAGCCACAACATGCATGTGAAATTGTACATTGTCGTAGCGACTCTATAATCCTAATGAATAGTAACACACTGATTTTAAGTCAAAATACATGGGAAAACACATACATACTTCAATCAGAACAACAAAAATAAATGTTAATATCAAAAGTTAATGTGTGCCATGATTCCAACACAAATTAGGCACTAGACAGAAGTTAGCTGCCTCTTCACAGGAGCATAGTAAATGTCAGTGAGTTATAAGCTAAACATAGATCAGCATGTCACTGAAATTTTCAACTTGCTGTCATCAGGACAAATATAAAAATACCAAATTTCAATCAATCACAACAATTTATACTACAGCAGAAAAAGGGGGCTGAATGGTTGGCAAGTCAACTCAACCCTGATTGGCTGACACAGTGCCATGCAGAAAGCAATGATCATGGCTGATCCAACATTCCTCAGGCCCACTTTCTTGTTCTTTCCAAAGTAACCTTTATTTTCCTACTAATCAGGAATCTAAGTATCTTAACCTTAAATATGCACAAGGACTCTGCCCCCCACTGCTGTATGTGGTAAGGAGTCCCAAAGACTCACAACTGTCTGAGAGATTGCAAGTATTACTAAGCAATACAATCCATTGCCTCAGTTGCTGGCAATTCTTTATGTATGAATTTTGACAATGAGTGTCAACAAGCTATTTATGGGCAAGCAGAGTATCACAGCCAATCCCAATACTTAGCTTGTCCATCATCTGCATGCATTTGCACTTTCAGGGCAGGAGTCACTAGTTTGTATCTGGAAACAGACGACTCTATTGATTTATTTCCTCCTACCCTTATCCATGGCTGACTAGGTGAAACCACGTCTTCTTGATAATGCCACCCACATATTTGTACAGTCAGAGACTAATTATATTTGTTCATTGCAGTAACTTATCTATATTTACCTACTGTTTTGTGTTGCTCAATTTTTAACTGTGGTGTGAGTTACTATGGTAAGTAAATATGAAGCAAGTCACTGTATATCAAATTATTGTGCAGAACCATATTATATCTAGACCCTGATACAGGGTAACACACATTTGGTTGCTATTGTGAATTGCTCAATATGTAAATATTTTCCCCAACTTCTCATCACTGCAGCAAAGTAACCTACGTGTAGTGGTTTAAAATGCACAGGAGTAGCACTCAGCAACATTTGAATTTCAAGTAAAGTCACAAAAAACAGATAATCTAGTTATGATCACATAGCTGTTGGAGAGGATCATGTGAAAATTAGCTGCCAGCATTACAACAGTAACTACATTCAAAAGCACTTCATGGACTACAAAGTGTTTTGGGACACCCAGAAGTGGTTATAGGAGCAGTAGAAATGCAAGTCTATTTTTTAACCTCACTGTTGTACTGAATTGTTATATACAGCATAAGGTTATTGTAGGGGGTTTCCCACCCTCAAACGTCTGATTGCAGTTCCTTGAGGTGAATTATCCCTTCAGTACATGTGTAGAGTCATACTGTATGTAGGCATTGAAGATCCACCTATATTCTTTGAAATATATTAAATATATTCTTTGAAAAATGTGAAAGCTTTGGGCCTGTTTTCACTACTAAGCTCTTTGGCCAGGTTTTGCTCTCTCCCTCACCTGTACCTGTCCTCCAGCTCCGGGCCGCCACCGCGAGGCTCTCCGGGGAATGTAGTTCCTGTCCTCAGGATTTGTCTGGGCACCCCGCAGGCGAGAACTACAACTCCCGGCATGCCCAGTGGCGTCAGGAGAAGCTTTCCGGGGTAGAGGGCGCAGCGGGCGGTCCCATGGCAACCAGGGCCTTGCTCTGCTAATTCGGCGTGAGGAGTGAAGAAAGCGGCACATCGTGACTCGGTCATCTGCTCCGGGGTCCAGGAGATTGAAGACAGGTTGATTTGGCTGGTTGTTGCGGTGAATGTCCCTCCTCCCGGTAAACGGAGGTGGGTTCTCTCTCTCCGATGCTGCGAAGCCTTTCGGCCTAGGCCCTCTTCCATGGCCTTTCCTCCTGGGGCCAGAGGCACACCGACCCTCACCCGGCCTCGCTGACCCGACATGTCCTCGGCTCATCCAGCGCCATTCTCTGCAGTATAGCAACCAGAAGGGCTGGGAATCCCGGTAAGGACAGCATTTGCGTTTCTCTCTTGTGTCTGTCTCACTATTATCCACAACCCATCCCACATCATGGGTCACTGTATTGAGGCTGGCCACTGGCCTGTTGGGAGGATCAACACAGTAAACTCTCACCAGCAGAGAATATCTCGATAGACCAGGCAATCGATGGACTAGGAGTGAATGTTGGCTGCATTGCATGGCACACCCTACTTTCTTTTTTGTCTCCAAAGTGTTCTGCAAACATTCTTCCTCAGCAAAAAAATAGAGCACTTGTATTGCTACAGTGCCTTCCACTACCTCAGGACTTCCCAAGGGAATTCACAGCCAACAAAACATCATTAGGAAGTGTGGAACGTTTGAAAAGTGGTTAATTGCGAGGTCTGGATGAACACAGCAGGCCAAGCAGCATCATAGGAGCAGAGAGGCTTGCTGCTTGGCCTGCTGTGTTCATCCAGCCCTGCACCTTGTCTCGGATTCTCCAGCATCTGCAGTTCCTACTATCTCTAATTGCGAGGTCTCTTCTGAAAGACAATGTCTCTGACAATGTAGATAACACAGTGTGGAGCTGGATGAACACAGCAGGCCAGGCAGCATCAGAGGAGCCGGAAAGCTGACATTTCGGGTCAGGACCCTTCTTCAGAAGTGGGGCCACAATATTGCACTCTTTGCCTCTCCCCCTGGTAGGTTAGCTTCTGTGGCCCAAACAATTTGGGGTGAAAGTGCTACCAACTGAGCTAAGTTAGTACTACATATCTTTCAATTCCTGCACTTGAATACACCAGTATAACCTCCACCAGGAGCTTTGTTTTCTTAGTGGATACTTTTTCTAAACAACCTGTTCAGAAATGATATTATGTACTTTTGGTTCAAAGGTAGGGACACCACCACTGTGCCACAAGAGCCCTGAGTGTTCTTAATGGAAAATGATTTTCTAATCAACTGGATCAGAATGTTATTACACAGCTCTGGAACAGGTGGGACTTGAATCTGGGCCATGTGGCTTAGAGAGAGGGACATTGCTGCTGCACCATGAGCCCTCAAGGGCCTTTTTAAGCTTGCTAATAAAACTCTGCTCAAATGTAGTATGTTTGATTTGAATAATTGCCATTGTACAAATTAATTCTTCAAGTGCCTATTTGATTTATTATCGGCACATGTACCGAGATAGTGAAAAGTGTTGTTTTGTGTGCTATACGTGCAGATTGTACCATACAACGTGCCTGAGGATAGCAGAACAGAGTGCAAAATAGTGTTACAGCAGCAGAGAAGGTGCAGAGAGAGACAGACAGACAGACAGAGAGATCAGAATTAACATTTGAGAAGTCCGTTCAAAAGTCTGATAAGTGGGGAAGAAGCTGTTCTTGAATCTGTTCATACATGTGTTCAAATTTATATATCTTCTGCCTGATGGAAGAGGGTGGAAAAGAGTATAATAGGGACGGAAGGATCTTTGATTATGTCGGTTGCTTACCTGATGCAGTGGGAAGTATAGATGGAGTCATTGGATGGAAGGTTGTTTTGTGTGATGGACTGGGCTGTATTCAAAATTCTGTAGTTTCTTGCGGTCTTGGGAATAGCAGTTGCCATACCGCGCTGTGATGCATCCTAATAGGATGCTTTCTATGGCGTATCTATAAAAGTTAATAAGAGTCCTTGCGGACATGCTAAATTTTCTTAGCCTCCTGAGGAAGTAGAGACATATTTTCAGGTATGAAGTAGTCTATTATTGTAGTTTAAGAGAGAGCTATAAATCTTTCCTATTGGCTTTTAATTTTTGGTTGATATTTCTTTATACTTCATTTGTTTTTAATCAGCATATTGGCTAAATTGATCTTTCTTTAACCAACCTTTTCTTAAATTAAGTCAGTATCTTCGCCTTAATGATCTTGGGAGTTTCTTTCCAGCTGTCAGTCACATCGTAAACACTTAACACATCTTAAATGTTCCTTTCGTAACCTTGAACTTGTGCCACCTTATCCTAACCTACCCAAAAATATTTTGAATTTGCTTTTTTTCACCCTGTTATCATATAGCTCTAAAATAACTGATCTGAGGCATCACCATTCAAGGCTAAATAAACTCTAGCTGAAACAGTTGTTTCTTATTGCCCTTCCACACAGTGTGACTCTAACATTCACATAACAGGAAAATGGCAGATTTTGCCGAGTTATCTGATCGCGCCTTGCTCGCGGTAGGGATTATATGTCTTTCTGATCCTGAGTAGGTTGGAGGGCAAATTCACCTTTTTATTGCTGACAAGTAACACTTGCTTAACAATTAAGAAAAGATTAACCAACTTGCTGGTTACAGATCACATTTGCGCAGGTCCCTGGGGTGTTACGCAGAGTGGCAGCTTGTACTGGATTAAGAACCTGATATTAATTGGGAAAGGGACAAGGGAATGAACATTTTTGAGGAATAGATTTTTTTTTCTCAGTAGTCTAATGGTTTAGAAGCTGTTGATGAAAGATGCACAATTTATTTGTGTGTGTATTTATATTAGTATCACTTAGAAATTTGAATTTTAAAACAGATGCAGGTGGCTAATTCTGTGAAGGTTTTCTATTTAAAAGAAGTCAGACTCCTTCAGAACAATGATTTAAATCCAACATTTTGTCAGAGAGCAAATGACTGAATCACTGTGGTGCTAATGGAAAGATATTTATGTTGTTGGGCTTATGACAGGTAAGGCCATTGGCTTTGTTTACAATTCAGAAGAACCTAGGATGAGCAAGCTTTTAAACTTCCCGACCCACTTGTTTGCCTGCCTCACATGTGATGTGGAGGTGCTGGTGTTGGACTGGAGTGGACAAGGTCAGAAATCGCACAACATCAGGTTATAGCCCAACAGTTTTGTTTGAAAAAAACAAGCTTTTGGAGTCGGACTCGGAAAGCTTGTGTTTTCAAATTAACCTGTTAGACTATAACCTGGTGTTGTGTGATTTCTGACCCTGCCTCACATAGCTCTTGATTCCTTTGTCTATCAAAAATCTATCTAACTCTGCCTTGAAGAAATTCTATGACATAACTTCCAGTACTTTCTGGGAAAAAGAATTTGACAAACTGCCAACCCTCAGGGACAAAATAATTTTTTGTCTTAAAAGGGAGTTGTTTTCTTCTCAAATTGTTCTATTGTAACATCAAAAGAAATCAATTGGTTACAAATCTTTGATGTTCTGATTGTGATAAAGGCTGTAAGTGAATATATCTTTCTTCCAACCTCGCTTCCATATCCCTACATCTTTGTAGAATAACCTGTTCTTCTTTAAGGTGAAGTACAGAACATGTTTTCTAGTGTCTGCCACTGAGTGGAGGCACAGTACATTGGAAGAGTAACCCATTTTGCCACAGCAGGTAAAACCTTGAAAAAGTTCATAATATGTACAGTACTTTGGTGATGTCAGTGTTGGCAATTGTAATTCACTTTGGAGATACCAATGCCTTTTCTGGCTTGCCAAGCACATTAAACCCTGCAGAACCACATTGATGATTAGATATATGTGCCAGGCTAAACTATTACAGGTAATAAGAAGGAATGAAAGTGAGACTAGTTTTGACAACTGGTCACAGTTACACAGCACAAGATCACAGAGGTATTTATGGGTGGATATGAAAAGGGGCTAACAGCAGTGATATTTTGAATTTGTATCGATCTACAATGTAGCAATAGTCCAGTGGCAATGATATGGATGCAGTTTGTCTTTAACTGTGTGCCAGCACCAAAAAAGAGCTCACTTCCTTCGGAAGGAAGTTAATATTATGAGTTATTCAATCCATCCAACCTATCTAGATATTTATACTCTAAATGGGCCACCTTCCACTTTGTTCCACCTTAGCTAATTCATGTATATTCTTTCTACCTTATATGCACTTATCTTCCTTTCCCTTAAATGTATCTTTGCTATTCACCTCAAGTATTCCTTGTAGTAACGTGTCCTTTTTTTTTTTTTGAGACATTTTCCAATTCTTCTGAGCATACATATAAGTGTATGTTAAATCAGTAATGATACAGTAAAAATGCTGTGGTTATGTTTTTTCCCCCAAATTGTCAGTGTTAATCTATGTTCAGGTGAACTTTAGTTTTTGCTTCTGTTGCTGGTTTTCTGCAATGGAGAGCTAAAAGCAAGTGAATACTTGTAGTTGTGGCTCAGTTGTGAGCCAAAACAGGATCTTCAGCAATCTGAGGTGCGGGTCTTCCACGTAGTTTCCAAACTCACTGATTCTGTATTTTGTATCAAGTCATAGCTGCCAGATCAGGAACATAGACTGCATTTGCTACCCAAAAAGAAGGTAGGACTTAAATGACATTGAAAAGGCAAGTAATCTCGAGGGCAAATAATTAACTCCAAGCTATATAGGTAAAGTCACCATAGTCTCAGAGGACCACAGGACTGCTCTCTCATTAGTGAGAGATGACTGGTGATGGTTTAACCTAAGCATCACCATACCTCAGGTGAGGTTGAGAAGATGGGGTTTTCATGGTGACCTCAGCCAGTATGGGTAATGAAAGCTGTGCGTGTATTGGAAGTTTCTAAGGCAAGGTAGAAGTGATTTTTCAGTGTTTTTCAAAATACTTCACTGCAAAAGCACTTTATTGTATCTGTAATCACTGTAGCAATAATTCACTTATTGAAAAATAACATGCATTTATAGAGCACTTTTTACAACCTCCAGCACTCCCAAGCAGTTGACAACCAATGAAGTACTGTATGTTATTGAAAATGCCATTTGCCCACAGCTGCAATATAGTGACACAAGAGCCCGCTAATCATTATTTTAAATTATTTGTGTTTAAAATTGCTACTGCCAATTGTCAGAACAAAATTTTTGTCCTTTTTTTCTTTTTATTTCTTTCCCAAGTGGCTCAATAACCTTTGCTAATTTTGCCTTCTCCATAAGCTGAAATTGAACTGTTATTACTGGAAATGGAAACTGAAACTGAGGTAACAGCTAGATTGATTTAAGGTCTTTTATATATTGATTTAAATTGCTTTCCTGCAGGCAGACTTTTCTCTGAAAAGTTGACAGAATGGAGGAAAAGAAAATGAAGCGCAGAAGCCCTAAGACCTCTACACATCAGCATCATCCTCCAGTAACCAACAAGAAAAGCACAATACCCAGTAAGAGTGTGGGCTTGACCAGTAGCACACAGACAACTGTTCCAAAACAAAAGCTGAAAAGGTACAAAGTTTTCTTTTTTTATTAATTCCTGGAATATGGGCATCTGTCAAGGCTGAAATTTATTGCCCGTTATCATAATTCCAACTGAGTGAAACCTGCCTTGATAACCCAATTTTGTTTTTTTTAAACTTAACCATGGAGGTCAGTTCCTGAACACATGCACAACACTTTGCCATTGTACTTTTAAAACATTTAATAAACATTTTATTATTTAAGATAAAAACACGAGATAAAAATGTTTGGAAAGATTTCAGAAAAGCATTCAAACTTGTGCTATTCCTTTCATCCCAGAGTTATCCTTAAAACAGCAAAACCTTGGTGAAGATTTACTACCATCTCCATGCTGAGGCTTCTTGTTCAGGCTGCCACAGCTGCAAACGGTTTCCTTCCAGCGAATTTTGAGCGCGTTTCCCAGATGTATTTTGTTTCAGCTGGTATCTTTTCCTGTGACTCCTAAAACAAACTGCAAACTAAACCCACTATTACTTTAACTTCAGTGTCTCTATACTCAAGTTTCCAGCAGCTTGCAGGATTTTGTACTTGAGCTTAATGTAACAGTGCAACACCTTTCCCTGGATCCCTGTTACCAGCCAACAGTGTAGTTCTTTTCCTGTTTTTTTTCAAATGTATCAAACGATTAATCTCTAACCTTTAGAAGATTAAAGGGTGATCTGATGGAAGTCTTCAAGATGTAAAGACAGTGTGGACAAAGATAAATTATTTCCAGATTTAGGGATTCTAGAACGAGGGGAATAATCTGAGACCAGTTGAGAGAAGTGTTAGGAAGTATTCTGTACACAGACTGGTAGATATTTTGGAACTCTGTTCCACAAATGGCAGTGGATGCTGGATCAGTTGTTAATTTAAAATCTAAGATAGATAAATTTTTGTTAAGATATTAAGGGATATGGAGCAAAGGCAGGTATATGGAGTTAGGCCACAGATTAACTACGATCTCATTGAATGGTGGAACACGCTCGAGGGACTGAAAGCCTTACTCCTGAATGCTGATGGAGGTTGATGATCTTCCTACACAACTGATATTGAAGGAATGGGCAGGGCACATTGAAAGGCAAAAGGGTGAAAAGGAATAAGGTATGAGTGAGATTGTTAATTTGTGCTCAGGCATAGGCAGATTTCTGCAAGGTAGGATTCAAGCTGAGAAAGCTCAATCTAATTTTAAAATTGAACAACGGAAAAGAAAATGTGGTTTAATTATAAGCCAACTTCTAGTTGGAAAAGAATACAAATTTCTAACTTCCAATGCCACCTGATCTTGTAGTAGCTTTTAGTAGTTTAAACATCTCTTTAGAGCATTGAGAAAATCTATGGCTATTGATGCTTTCAATGTATTTGTTCTTTATAAATGCTCCCTGTCTGTGCCGTCTGAGTGAAGCGGTTGCACCCAACCGAATTGCACACTTTCAGCTTGTGACAAAAAAATGTTGTCTAGCAGCATGGATTTGGAGTTATTCCAATTGAAAGCTGGAGGAATGCAGACTGGCCTTGTTTTTCTTTTAAATAAAGAACTGTATGTCAATAGTTCAGTTGCAGTTTTGGGCTGTCATTAGGGCTTGAATACTGTAAAGCCTGATAATCACTGTGTGGAGCTTTTGTGCTATCTTCAGTTGTGTTGCTGTGGTATGATTTAGTAGTAGACTTTGTCACTCATAACTATTTTGGCTGGCCACAATATTTTTGAGCTGTTAAAGAACTAGTGATTAATTGTGGTATATAGCAGGAGAGATGGAGAAAGTTCAGGTAATTATCAAATTACATCATATGCTGAGAGGATGTTTCCTGTCACGGGAAAATGCAGAACTAGGGAACACAGTTGAAAATTAAGGGGTCTCCCATGTAAGATGGAGTTGAGGAGGAATTTCATTTGAGAGTCATTAGTATCTGGAATTCACTACCCCAGACAACATTGGAGGCTGAATCATTGAAAGTATTCAAGGCCAAATTAGACGAGATTTTTCAATCTGCAAGGTTGTTGAAGTTGTAGTGGGCAGACAGAAAAGTGAAGTTAACACCACAGTTAGATCAGCCGTGATCTCATTGAATCGGGGAGTAGGTTCAATGGGCTAAATGGCTGACTCCAATCCCTATTTCTTATGGTCTTGTATGGATATTCTGACATTAGTATCAATGCATTTAGCCTTATTGACGGCACTGTAGATGTTGAGGTAGTCATAGAGATGTACAGTGCGGAAATATCCTTCGGTCCAACTCGTCCATGCCGACCAGGTATCCTAAATTAATCTAGTCCCATTTGTCAGCATTTGGCCCATATCCCTCTAAACCCTTCCTATTCTTAAATTCACTCCGATGCCTTTTATACGTTGTAATTGTACCAGCCTCCTCCACTTCCTCTGGCAACTCATTCCATACGCGCACTACCCTCTGCATGAAAAAGTTGCTGCACTTCTGTTCTATGCAGTATCTATGCGCCTTACATCGATGGATGCACCATGTATAGCTTTATCGATTATGTGGATACGTTTTGAGACATGAATTTTTTCTGTGATTTCCTATATTTGGAGTGCCTTTTTTTGGCTGTAAGTGTGAAAGTAGTGGGAGAAGATGAGAATAGGAGTAGACCATTAAGTCCCTCGTATGTTGTTGCTTTATAACATCATGTGATAAATAATGGGTACAAGTAAATGTTTCCAGTAACAGCAATTTAATAACAAATGTCACACATTTAAGGGAAATAGCAAAAGAACTAGTAAGGAGTTGAGACTTTATTTCTAGAGAACATAGAGATTATTTGGAATGCACTGTCTAAAAGGGTGGCCAAAGTATATTTGGTATTAACTTTCAAAAGGGAATTTGACAAATATTTGAATGGAAAACGCTGAATGTTATGGGGAAGCTAGTGAAATGAATTTTTAAAGAGCCAACATGGACACAATGGGTCAAATTCACTCTTTTTGTGAGTTTTTATTGTATGAAAATGCTGAATATACATTTGCAATCGGTGATCACGAGTTGTATTTTATAGATAAATTGAATCGTTACGTGGATGGAATTGATTTATAGAGCAGCATGAGTGAGATTCAACCATGCCTTCCACTGAACACAGGGACATAAAGGCATTCAGCAGCAAAAGTGCAAATGGTTTACTTCAAATCTTTTAAATATTCTGAATGCTGTTATTAATTTGGTTTGAGGATCTTTTGTTTTTTTAATTTGTGTGGGGAGGTAATGGAGAAGGAATTTATACAGCACTAATTGGCATTCTCTATACAGCAATCAAAATGCTGCAGTCAACAATGTGGTAACTGATTGGATCATTTAAATTTTAAAAAGGCTGTTCTCTGCCAACTTCAGGCATTGGGCAAAGTCCAGTAGATTTGGATGCTCCAATTAGCCCATCTCCCTCTTGTGGTAGGATATCAGTGTTGTAACGTACTGTTCTTTCCCATGTTATTAATCTTGTTTAGTCAGTTTACTAAAGGTTCTGGGATAATGGAAGTCATTTCAGCTTAGTGTGCAATGTTCAACCCTTTTTGCTTTAGACAAACCTAAAAGCTCCATGTCAATCTTGTAATTTTCTATTTTTAAAAAGAAAGCACAAGCCTATTTGTAATCTATTCTTACAGATGGATGGGCACACCATAGGAACATAGAAAATAGGAGCAGGAGTAGGCCACTTGGCACCTCGAGTGTGCACTGCCATTCACCTAGATCATGACTAATATTCTGGGGACAGTGAAAGTCTTTTTAAGCTTTGGTTAAAAGTGAGGAGCTTTGTTTCACTTTAGTAACTGCTGCTGCCTTAACTATACAAGCTAGATGGTGATTGTCAGTCAGCAATTTACTTCCAAGCTGAGTCTAGTGCTGTTTCACTTGACATCCACAGAATGCCTTTTCTAAACCTGTGTGTATTAAACATTGCATTATATTGGGGGCAATTTGCCTCGGTGACCAACTGAGAATCAGCATGCTGGAGCACTTTACACCCACTTCCAGACCTTGGCTCTTTGAGGAATACTGACTGAATTTTAAACACTCATTTGTTATATTTGATTACTAATAAATTAAATTGTTATTTCTTTCTCTGGTTAAGCGAATAATATTTCTTTCTATCTCTTCCCATTGAGAAAAGTTTCTCAGGCTGCAAGAGAAAGTTAACATTTCAGGTCAATGACCTTTGTCAGAACTTGACCAGTTAGTGATTTGATACTTTTTAAGTATTTCTGAAACAACAGACATGTTTCCAAAGCTTTTCATCATGCACTCATTGGGACAAGCACAGGAGTGATACATTTCAAACAGTTAATAATGCAGGAGAAAAAGATGGGATTGTTTGGCTGAAGCATTACTGTTGTGAAAGAGACTGGAAACTATTGACTCCGAAGCTCCCAAGTAATTCAAAAAAGGTGCAAGGCTTGAACATATTCCACTACATATGAAAGTGTGGTTTTTTGCAAGCATACATGAGCCACGCTATACATTCAGCAGGTTATCTTAAGTAGATTATTAGTGTGGCTGTCAATGAGTGCTGCCCAATCACATCTGACAGTTGATGTTTTGTTTGGGGTTTTTCAAGCATAGTTTGGTGAAGTATAGTTATTAAAATCCACGCTGAATCCAAAAGTCTCAACTGGACAATGGGGAGTAACTTCATGTTGGGAAGGAAACTCCTTGCTCCTTTCTTACAGTTATAAGGTTGGGTCAGCAAAGGTCAAGTTCTCAGTGAGTGACATCATAAGGCCTGATAGTTTAGTGAAATTGTGTTTATTTATGAACTGTAACAGAGATTCTCAACTGTCAGCCTGACTTGAGTCTGCTGCAGATTGGGGATCAGAAAGCCTATATTGTAGGATTTGTCAAGGTAAAGTGGAAGCCTCAAATTGAGCAAGAAATCAAAATCTTTACTGTGTTTTCGTGATTGTGGAAATGACACAGTCCCTGTGATGACAGATCAGTAGATGAAGTCAGCTGGGCTTTGAGCTTGTGCTGCTGAATTGTTGTTGTTTACCTGAAACAGGGCTGTTTAAGTTGATTGTTTCAGGGAATCAATCCTATTAAGTGTCTGAGCAAAGGATACAGTTGTTCGTATCGGGCGGTGATATAAACTATTTGTGCAGGTAACATGCCATTTGCACAGCACCCAGTGCTAATGATTCCTATATCTCTAGATCCTGACCCTGATCAAATTGTGTCCATGACTAAATTGTTTGCAGGGTCAGTATTCACGATGGCAAAATTTTGGGCAATGATATCAGAAAGTCATCAATAAACATTATTACGACTGGGAGGATGTCAAGTGAGTGGCTCAGAAAACTTCACTTTTTGCCAACTATGGAAGGATTAATACTTGCATTGGGGTATATCCTGAATTCACTGATTGTAGGCAGGTTGATGGAATAATGATTCAGCAAACACTAACACACTGTGCTGACTTCGAACGTTGCAAGCAATCTGGTACCACCTTCAAGAACTTTATCTTCAGGGAGGGACTAAGTATCTCCTTCTGAAAAAGACCCCAGGTTAGTTGTACACTGTCCTGTTTCCAAATTAGGAAAGTCCTTTCAGGAATAGACCTTTAGGACCCTTCAGCTGTTGAACAGTATCCACTTTCCACTCTATGTGGCTCAATATTCTTTTATACCAAAACTCATTGCAGATTTAATGTTTTTTATTGAACAGAGGAGATCTGAAAACGGGGCACAGAGGGCAGAGTGAGAATATGAGTGTTTTATTTGCTAAAAGAAACTGAAAAGTCTTCTATAAACTTAGAAATATTAAAAAAAACTCATCAAAGGAAGGGGTAGGCCAACCAGGGACTGAAAAAGAAGATATTATTTTCAAGCTAGAGTATGGCTGAGATGCTAAATGAGTACTTTGCATCTCATGGCACTAAAGAAGAGAATGCTGCGAATCAAGAAGAAAGAGGCAGTGGTGGTTAAATAGAAAATGGTTAAAGGAGAAGTACTGAACGTTGGCAGTTCTCAAAGTAGAAAAGTCACCCAGTCTTCCCATAAGGATAGCGAGAAAAGTCAGGGTGGACATGGCAAAGGCTCAGGCTGCAAATGTTGAATTGTCTTGGAACTTGTCATAGATTCCTTAGCAAAATGAAAACGCATATGAGTAAAGGAACAGAGGCAGGGTGGCTGCTGTGGGACAAAAAGTAGTGTGTTGCGATGGACACTTTTCAGAATGGTGGGAGGTATAGAGCGGTGTTCCCCAGGGTTTGGTTTAAAGATTCCTGTTTTTGATTATAGTTAATGACTTAAATTTGGGTGTAATGTCAACATTTGCAAATGAAACTAAATCTCTGAAGTATAGTCAACAGTGAAGAGGATATGGAGAGATTGAAGTGAGCAGACTTGTGACAGGTGGAATGTGGAATGTTCTAGAGCATCAACTGAAGAGTGGAGAGCTCATGTCCTGTCACCATAGAACTGGTCTGTACTCTGGATAATGCAGCCATTGTTTCTTGCTCTGAAGAACTATATATTTTAATCAATGCTCACTTGCATTCTTGTTTTCTTTCTTTCTTTCTTTTGTCTTTAGGGTGGTAAGGGAGAAACCCAAACCACAGAGTATAGCTGGGAAAAGTACACAGTCAGCCCCTCTTCAGCACTCCTTTCTCACTGATGTATCCGATGTGAAAGAGATGGAGCGAGGATTGCTCAGCCTTCTAACTGACTTCCACTCTGGAAAGCTTCAAGCATTTGGTATGAGGCTTTTTTTAAATGTGGCTATAAGGTTCTTCAAAACACAAACTAGGTTTCACTATTTGATTTGAAGCTGGCTTTTTCTTCCCTACACTGAAAATTGTTAGCTGCAAGTGGAGTTGAGTCCTTTATTCATCAACGGGATTTAAATTTCACTATCTGCCATGGTGGGATTCGTATGCGAGTCCCCAAAACGTTGTATGGGTCTCTGGACTAACAGTCCTGTGATACCACTAGGCCGTTGCCTCCCCAAGGTGCTGTTCAGCAAGCTCCCAGCTGGAAACTATCTATGCCTGGTCAGAAGATTGTACGTGTACGCAGTTGTGTGTCCAATGACCCCTGCCGTACCTTTTTGGAAATTTTCTTTTGTGTACGGTATATGAGCTTCACTGGCAAGGCTGTCATTTCTTGCCTATCCCTCATTGCCCTTGATAATGTGATACTGAGCTGACTTCTTGAACTGCATAGTTCATGATATGTAGGTGCACCCACGGGGCTGAAAGTGATTGGGCCTAGGACTCTATCCTGAGGAATTCCTGCAGTGATGTTCTAGTACTGAAAAGATTGACAAACCCCAGCCGTCTTCGTGCCATCTGATTTGTTCATTTCTGTCATGGTTTGGTGTAGCTAAGTGGCTTTCTCTTCCATTTCAGAGGGTATTTAAGAGTCAACCACATTGCTTTTGGTCTGGGGTGACATTTAGGCCTGCCCAAACATTAAAGATTAGTGAGGTTTATGTGGTTTTACTACAGTTGAAAACAATCTACTGTGATGTTGTGAATAGTGAGACTGATTTTTAATTCCAAATATATTAATTCAATTTAAATTCCACCTACTGCCTTTTCCCCAAGGCATTAGTTTGGGCAGCTGGATTACTATTCCAGTGACGACATCACTGTGCCACCCATATCAAGTACTCGTATGTTGGCAGTATTGGTTTGTATTGGGTCGGGCTCCTGGTATACATCATCTGAAAGCCTTGACAATGAATGGCAGTTGGTCTAGTTGCTGATGAGCCAACACTAAGATCACTCCTGTTTTTCTCCAGCAGGCTTTCTGTTGTACTTGCAGGTTCTTGCTCTCGTGCTTGCACACTGCCTTTTGCTCACATGCTGTCTCTGATACAATCACACCTGTATGGATTTTGCAGCTGGGCCTTGGGATCAGTCCTGGAAGTATAGGCTCTATGACTGAACATGAGATGTAATGTATTTAGGTTTTCAGAGGACTTTTGATGAGGTATTGCATAATAGGATTCTGACTAAGGTTGAAGCATGTGGATTCGAGGAATAAAATGCAGAAAGGATAGCAAAAAGCAACCAGAAGACAGAAGAGTAGGGGTTAAAGATAGTTTATTAGATTAGCAGACAGTGGAAACCTGCTATACAGAGTTTGGTACAGGAATTTCGCTTATTAATTATTCACAATTAATTCTGCCCCACTCCTCACCCTTTTTCCAAGTTCAAATGTTTATTTTTCCAATCTTTCCCTCCACCTCTTTGACTGCTGAGGTTTGTTTGTTTTCTCTGTCATTGCAGGCAATGAATGTTCCATTGAACAGATGGAACATGTGCGTGAGATGCAAGAAAAGCTAGCTCGCCTGCACTTTGACCTTTATAGCGACCTCGATGAGCCAGTGGAGGAACAGAGGAATATAGCTCGGGACATGCATCTGGATAAATTGCTAACTAACGTAAGTCCTACTCTTAAACAGCTAATTCCATTGGTTTCTAAACATTGGAGTCAAGCTGTATGGAAAAGAGAGATGAATAAAACAGGAAAACCTCTGGTCACAGTATCCTGGTAGCTCAGCTGAGGGATCCAATGAGTGGCTGAACCACAGACCCTGTAAGGTTGCAGGTTTGATTGGACTAACTGATCTCAATGTTGGATTGTTACAATTGACATGGGATTAGCAAAGGAGATGAATTTCGCAGATCTCCTTTCCCCATGCACCAGCAAGTGACACTGCAGCGAGTATGTTGTTCATTTCATCCAGTTTGCCTAGTACAGTATAGACAATTATTGCTGAAAATGCGATAGTTTATTTCTGGGGAAAGCAGCCCCCCCCTCCAATCCCTTCCTGTCTGGGCCTTTTATGTGACTCCAGTCCTACACCAATGTGGTTGTCTCTGATCTGTCCTCTTAAAAAGTCTTATGCATTCCACTAATTTGCATCAGGCGTTCACAATGCAGTAGATGTAGAAGGTGGCTCCCCACTATCGCTGTATTCCGAGAACAAGTTGGCTTGAGTTGGTAGATGCAAGTGTTCCTGGTGATGTCCACATGCGTAAGAATCTTTTTTTTTTTAAAGACAAACCTCCAGGGTTCTCCAGTCAAGTGCTCAGCTGCTGTGTCAACCACAACTTTGTGTTTTGAGTTTTCAGGGATCCTCGCCAATACAAGTAGCTGGTCCCTCTTGCATGCACTGAAGGGGTCGCGATTTTATCGTGCTCTCCGAGCCTCTTTAGCCAGTAGGACGTAGTAGTTCCAAATCCTGTTGTCAGATATTTGCTGTTCTCTTCTCTCTTGCAGTTGGAGGAGCTGAGCTCTTCGATGTATCCTTTCACATGTGCGTTGAACCATCTTGTGTTATGACATAGTAGAAATAAACACAGCTCTACCCATGGCAAAAGAAAGAAAATCTTACCTTTCCATAACATCTATCATGTCCTTGGGATGTCTTAAGGTACTTTCATGCCTTTTGCACTTTTTCCAGTGTCATTCTAGTTTTTAATAAATGCACCAACTAATTCACCCAGCAAGACTCCACAAATAGCTATGTGATAATGACCAGTTAACCTTTCTTTTTGGTCCTTTAATAGGATAAACTGGCTCGAGTCCTTCCCTATTCCAAGAAAAGTCCTTCTTGTGATGTGAATTTTTACCTCCTCTGTTAACATTTTGGCCGCTCATAATTATGTGACTTATAATACCACGTAGGTACTTATAGTACAAAAAGGGCACTATATATAGACATTAAAGATGGGTGAGAGGGAGGAGTATCAGATGTGTATGTAAACATTGAACTATTGGTTATATTCACCCTTAACCCACCATTTACTTTTCAGTCAAAAGCTGAACTTGGCAGATAATCAAGATTTCCCAAGAGCATCCACCTCCTGAAGAATGGGTGGGAAGCCTATGTCTAATACTGTGCAAATACTTATTCACAGTAGCAGTTGATGAAGAGATTGCAGCATGATGCTTTCTTATTACGGAAATTGGTTCTGCTGTTTCGCACTTATCACTTGTTCTCACTGGAGGTTCTCGAAGTCACTCCTCTGAAGCTCAAAGCAATTGTCACCAATTGCTGCTTACTGATGCTATGCTGGTCTTCATGCTTCTAGTGAACATTGTATGGGGAAAAGCATGTTTCTCAGATTTGAATGTGCTTTGGAAACATAAGATGAATCAGTTGTCTAATAATTGGTTGCTGCGTTTAACTCTGTCAATGTTCCTGCTTTTCCTTTTGGAGAGGGCAACCTGCTGCTATGGGAGAACGTGTTTCATCTAAGTGGGGAACAGTGTGTCCTGAGCAGGTCTCCGTGGCAGTGGCTGTAATGGAAAACATGTTGCTGGTGGATTTCTGGGATAAGTTGAGGCAAATTGAGAGACGAAAGTGAAGTAGTACCAGAAGCTTTGGAATGTTTTATGTCACCATTCACAGAGATTTCCACTTGGGTTGAAACCATCAGATGTTTCTAAGCCTTCATTTTGGCATGATGCTGTAGGGCTGCCTTCTTTCCATCACTGATCTCTCAACCATTCTGAAGAACTGTCCCCATTGGCCCCAGGACAGGAGCCAGCTGGGGAACTGCTACTTTCAAGGCTTGCCTCTGTCAGACCAAATCCCATTCCAACAATAGAATCGTGTACAGTATCAATCAGAAGCCCAACTACACAGTACAGGAGTAGGGAGCTGATTGGAGTCAACACTAAATTCCATGGCTTATCCTGATTCACGTTGGCTCTAGCCGTTGTGATCATGTTCCAGTTGAATTGTGGAAGCTGGGTGTTCTGACAAAGCAGAACAAGAGTTTCCCAGTGGTCCGACAGGGTGCTAGGGAGTGAAGGAGGAAGGAACCACCTTGAGCAATCAGAGAAGGACTCTTCCAAACCCCACTGCCTGAAACCAGACCAGTTCTCAGATGGACCCCACCAAAATCAACAGATCCTTGTCCTTTGACAGATAATTTACCGAGTACTGATTATGGGCTTAACTGACTTTGCAATTGATGTGGAAGACTGCTGTTTTAGTGACAAGATTCTGGAGGGACTGAGGAAAGAAAACAAAATCGTGAAAACCCTGACTGAAATTATTAAATTACTAACAAATGTAAGGACAACGTATTATTTTTAAAGGTCTGCTTTGTTTTAAATGTTACTCTACAGTCTCTTCTGTATTACATCCCCCTTTCCTGGCAAAGCTATTCTAACAGTGTCCTTGATCATGCTGCTAAGCTGGTTTGGAGATGTCTCACCCTCTGCTTTTCCCTTCCTCCACAAGCAGATGTAAGTGTAAAGGCACACGGGAGGGTGAGCCCCACCTTTGGGCTGGTACATCACCTGCTAATGTTGTTGAAATCTTCCAGAGAGAAGACTAAATTAATATGAGCTGATTTTCTTTGGTTCTGTTCATCACAATGGTTTGCTGAGCTTGGGGGTTGATTCAGACCAGTCAGAGGCACCTGCTGTTGGTGCAACATGTAATTCAAACTTTATTGCACATTAATGTGTTTACAATTCATGCAAGTGCAATTGTGGAAGAGTTCTACTAATGTGCTATGTCTGTGTATATGTGTGTGTATCTATGTACTCTTCTACATGGGTTTGTCATATCTCTCAAACGTGCCACAATTTTAGATTTAAAGTGCAGTGTGAGTTGCAGTTTTATTGTGATTTTCTGTAACGTGATCCTTTTGGGTTGGGGGAGAGTTGCTCAATTACAGGTGATCCTTCTGATGCCTGAATGGAAAGATTGACCATTACCGACATTAAACTCCGAGACCGTTGAGAGGTTCCAGCTTCACAAACTGAAATACGGTATTTGCGAGTTGGACGTGGTGAAGAGAGTTAATGGTCACCAAACTGCACTATGGGTGAAGAACAGTCAGGGCAATGAGGCACTGCTCCCATTGATTTGTTTCATGTTACTTGTGTGTTTTGCTGTCTGTCTGCTGGAGGCTTATACCAAATCATTGTATAATGAGATATTAAAATGAAACATGTTTGACCCTCCACATTGAGTTTTACTTGTTCCTTGTGTTCCCAACCAGTGCATGAGACTGATCCTTATTACTGGGTGCAGCATGTGATGCAAACAACAACAACTTGCATTCAAGTCTTGTTTTTAAAATGGTAAAATGTTAAACATTAAGGAGGGAGTTGTTTGAGCACGTGTGTGTGCAGAATACATAACCACTCAGTCTAGTCTTGTCTCATAAAAGCAAAATAGTGTAGATGGTGGAAATCTGAAACAATCACAGAAAATGCTGGAGAAACTCAACCGGTCTGTTAGCATCTGACTTTCTTCAAGCCTTATTTCATAATGGATGCTGCTGTGTATCTCCAGCATTTTTTCTTGTTTCTAATTCCCTGCATGTTTGTTTTGCTAAATTGATAAAAGAATCAGGGTTTTGAGGGGCAAACAAAATAGTGAAGTTGACACCACAGTCTAACATGCTATAATTATACTATACACTGGATAGTTTGGTTGGGGATTAAAGTGACGTCTCATTTGAAAGGCGATCTAGTCTAATATGCAGAGTTATTATCTGTCCAAATTACATTGCTTAAGCCTGGGGGTGGGGCTTGGAATGACACAACAGGGTGGAATAAGGTTCTGAATGGCTGAGGAAGAAGGGGCAGGCATGGGCTACCCTTTTGTGTTGTGACTGATCTTAGACTTATGGAGGCAACACAGACAGGAAGACAAAATCTCCCTGGGTTCTTGTTGCTCATGGCTCACTACACCTGTTAGAAATAGAACATTGAACAGTACAGATCAAATTACTTTGCATACCCTACATTATATAATCATCCATGTGCCTATCTAAGAATCACTTAAATGTCTCTAAAGTATCTGACTCCACTACCACTGCCGGCAGCGCATTCCACACACCTACCACTCTGTGTAAAGAACCTACCTCTGACATCTCCCCTATACCTTCCTCCAATCACCTTAAAATTATGCCCCCTCGTAATAGTCATTTCCACCCTGGGAAAAAGTCTCTGGCTATCCACTCTATTTATCCTCTCATCATCTTGTACATCTCTGTCAAGTCACCTCTCATCCTTCTCTGCTCCAATGAAAAAAGCCTTGGCTGTCTCAACTTTTCCTCAAAACAGTTGCCCTCCAGTCCAGGCAGCATCCTGGTAAATCTCCTCTGCACCCTCTCTAAAGCTTCCACATCCTTCCCATAATGAGGCGACCAGAACTGAACACAATATTCCAAGTGTGGACTAACCAGGGTTTTATAGAGCTGCAGCATAACCTCACGGCTCTTAAACTCAATTCCCCTGCCAATGAAAGCCAACATTCCATACGCCTTCTTTACAACCCTATCAATTTGAAATCAAATAAGGTGCTTGTTCTCAGATGAATTATTTCCCTCTGTGTCCATGTCTCACAAGTGAACAAGATGACCAAAGACACCCGGTCTTTGAGCAAATGGGGTCTCAGCAGGCAGGTGATGAATTGTTAAAACAGTGCACAGGAAGAAGCAACTGAATTTTGACCTCTTTTCTGAATGGCCACTCCAGAATGAGGCCATGCAGACCGGAACATCCCGGCTTGCTATCCAGTAACTCCTGTGGAAATTTTGATCGACCGAATTCTCTGCTTGATCCGTGCCCCATTCCAAGAAACTCTAATGGCTTCATGAGTGTAGTATCAGCTATGAAGTGCTGGGAAGCACACTCTTAAGGCTGAAGGTTAAAACTTGTTGCATAGGTGTCAGCACAAAAATTTAGCTTCATGTTGCTGTGCAGGACTGAAAGAGTACTACAATGTTGGAGATGGTACCTAATAGCTGGAATATTACATATGCAGGGGCCTTAGTTTAGTAGTGAATCCTGTTAAAGAAGGAAACCTCGTTCAGGGTTCCCATTCTTAAGTAGCATCTAGTGTTCATTCCAGAGAGAATTCAAGGGGGAGGCAGCCATTTGAAATGAAAATGTTCAACTTTGTAGTCATCCATGGTCAATCCCTCCTTAAATAGTTCTTCAGGTTTGGGGTGACCTGCTGTCATTCTGGTTCTAAGCTGGCTGGTGAGGTGGAGGTGCAATCAGCAGATCCTGCCACATGTGGGGCAGAAGGTGTTGGAAGACTGGGGTAGATAGGTTGTGCTGTCCCTCTGATACCTTGCCTTCACCTGATCCACTTTCAGATGAGTCTCTCAATGTGTTCAATGGAATAGCAGAAATGACAGTAAGCAAGTAGAGCAGACACTTTAAGGAGGTAATTCATGGGGGAGAGGCTGAATAGGTTGGGGGTATTTTCCCTGGAGTTTCGGAGGCTAAGGGGTGACTAGAGGTTTATAAAATCATGAGGGGCATGGATAGGGGATTGTCAAGGTCTTTTCCCTAAGGTAGGGAAGTGTAAAACTAGAGGGCATAGGTTTAAGGTGAGAGGGGCAAGATTTAAAAGGGGGGCAACTTTTTCACACACAGGCTAGTGTGTATATGGAATGAGTAGCCAGAGGAGGTAGTGGAGGCTGGTATAATTACAGTGTTTAAAAGGCATCTGGATGGGTACATGAATAGGGAAAGTTTAGAGGAATATGCGCCAATTGCTGGAAAATGGGACTCGATTAATTTAGGATAGGTGGTTGGCGTGAACAAGTTGGACCAAAGGATCTGTTTCCGTGCTGTACAGCTCTATGACTCAGCAAAAATATATCCCCAAGCAGGAAAGATTAAGAGGGATAAATCAAACATGACTAACCAAGCAAATTGAGATTATAAAGTTGAAAGAAAAATCATGTAAGGAGGCAAGGTCAGCGATAGCCCCAAAGACTTGGATAAGTTCAAAATCTGGCAAAGGAGGACAAAAAGATAATTAAAAGAGAGAAAATAAGCTACGAGGCAAATTAGCAAGGAGCATAAAACTGACTGAGAGCCTTTTTCAATATTTATAGTGGGAGAGAGAGGTCAAGGTGAACACAGGCCCTTTAGGAAATGAATCTGAGGAGACAGTTAAGGAGAACAAGGAAATGGCTGAGGCATTAAAGCGATATTTTAATCAGACTTTATGGCCAAAGAGACTTCAAACATCCTAGTAATAATAAAGAATGGGGGGGGGGGGTGGGGGTGGGGTAGGGATATTAAGTACCATCACCATCACTAGAGACAAACTAATTGGGCTAAACACAGAAAAGTCCCCTGGCACTGATGACTTGCATCCTAGGATTCTAATAGAGGTAGCTGCAGAGGTAATAGATGCATTGTAATTATCCAAAAATCCTTGGACTCCGGAGAAGTGCCAGAGGATTGGAAAACTGTCAACGTGACATCCTATTCAAACAGGAAGGCAAAAAGTGAGTAAATATAGGCTGTTTAGCCTAACGTCAATTGTTATAAAAATATTGAAATCAATTATTCAGAAACTAATAGCGCCTTTAGAAAAGCATTATCTAATTAAGCAGAGTCAGTATATCATCATGAAAAGAAATCTCTGTCTGACTATTATCAGAATTATATCAAGGGCATGTCAACCAAAGTGGATGGGGTGAACCATTAGAAGTGTTGTATTTGAACTTCCAGAAGACATTTGACAAGGCAAAAACCTTGTAAAAGGCATGATTGGAGGTAATATTATTGGCATGGATAGAGAACTGACTAATAGGCAGGGAACAGTGAGTAGGGATAAGGGGTTCATTTCAGGTTGACAACTTGTAACCGGTGGGATTCCACAGGAATCAGTGCTGGGACTGCAACTGTTTACAATATATATTAATGACTTAGAGGAAGGAAGTAAATGTACTGTAGCCAAATTTGCAGACAACACAAAAATAGGTGGAAAGGCAAGTTGGGAGAGGATATAAGAGGTTTATATAGATATATTGATAGGTTAAGTGAGCAAATAGTTGGCAAATGTAGTATAATGTAGATAAGTTTTGAAGTTCATTTTGGAAGGGGGAGCAGAAGTGCAGTATTATTTAAATGGAGAGAAACTGCAGAAAGCTGAAACACCAAGGAACTTGGAGGGACATGGGCACAAAACACAGAAAGTTAGCACACAGAGGCAGCAGGTAATCAGGAAGGCTAAGGGAATGTTGGCCCTCATTTCAAGGGGTTTGGAGTATAAGAGTAGGGAAATATTTACTGCAACTGTACAAGGTGCTGGTGAGACCATAACTGGAGTACTGTGAGCAGTTTGGTACCCACTTTTAAAGAAATGTATCATTTTGTTGGAGGCCGAGGTCTGTCTTTGTTGGGTTGTCCATGGGTGTCCTGACATTCCAGGTCCCAAACTTCATTTTATTGAGTGGGAGCTGCCTGTGCATGGTTTTACTTTGAGGTTAGTATTTTCATGTCAACTGTGTGTAGTTTTGGTCTCTTTACTTGAAGAAGAATGTTCTAGCTATGGAGGGAGTGCAACAAAAGCTCACCAAACTGATTCCTGGGTTGGCAGGGCTGGTATTTGAAGAGAGACTGGGTCAGTTAGGATTGTATTCGCTGCTGGGAATGGAAGGTGTGAGATATAAAAATAGATTAGGAAGACTGGGACTTCTTTCACTGACGTGTAGGAGGTTGAGGGGTTACCTTATTGAGGTTTATAAAATCATGAGGGGCATAGATACGGTGAATCATTTGAGTCTTTTCCCTAGGGTGGGGAGAATTCAAAACTGGGGGTATATGTTTAAGGTGAGAGGAGAACAATTTAGAAAGGATACAAGGGACATCTTCCTTAAACTGAGAGTGGTTCATGTGTGGAATGAACTGCCAGAGAAAGTGATAGATACAGGTACAGTTACAATGTTTAAAAGATATTCAGACAAGTATATGAATAGGAAACGTTTGGAGTGATATGGACCAAACTCAGGCAGGTAGGACTAGTTTAGTTTAGGAACATGGTTGGCATGAACTGGTTGGACCAAAAGGTCTGTTGCCATGTTGTACACTCTATGATTTTATGAGTGAAGGTTATGAGTTATGAAAGGTTCAAGCTTGTTGCATTGGTGTCAGCACAAAAATTTAGCTCAATGTTGCTGTGCAGGACTGAAGGAGTTCTATGC